GGTGGGGTAGGGAGAATTAATTCTCTCCTCCCATGTCAGCTCTAATGTAAATTGTAGGCTTACAATCTTTAGTCTGCCCTGTTGCTGCATAGATTTCAGCTAATTTATTGTATATGGGTGTATGGCTTCCTAACATCAGCCAGAGTTGTTTTGACCCTAAGGTAAGCAACCAGGATTTTTCAACACTCAGCTAAAAGTGACAGCCATAAAAAACAGCTTCATGAAAGTGTTAAACCTTGAGATAATTGGCATTATTCCTCAATAGGACTTTACAAACATGGCTTATTGTTGATACTGTGTAGCAAGCACCCCTTCTGATCCTAGGGCATCTTCCCTCGGGGCAGAAGTGGGGTTGCCATTCTTTAGGTTCTTTCATACATGTAAGGTTGTTTGGAGGAAGAGAGAAAGGAAGCACTTTTTTTCTGTCTCTGCACATTATCTTATTTTTCCCAAAAACTTTTATTTTTTATTAGACAGACATTTTGTTCAGAAAGGAAAGGAGGCTGAGATACTTCATCTGTGGCCATTAGGATGCAGTCTCTATTTCCTGGTAAGGGAAGAACAGGAACACAGAGGAGCCTCTGCTCCATTTCCTCTCCATTTCCCTTGCGGCCCTGGCTCTTACACAAAGTATTCAGTTGAGGTCAGTCAGTCAGTCACTTAGTTTATTGACACACAAATTCTTTCCATACAAGAATGGAGAGTTCAAAATATATTAATATATAGATTCAACAGTTAACCTAATAAGACTTTACTTGGATAAATACAAGCGAAGAAAAGCAGATGTCCAAAACAATAAGCCATATAGTTGCTTATAGTTGAGAAGACTCTAAATGTCTTTTACCTTTGGCCCACTTTCATTTGAAGCACCTTGAGTGGCCCCTTTCCTGGGCTCTACTTGGTTCCTGTTTGGCATTCAGAATGGAATAAAGGGAAACCCATCTCCCACTCTCTCAGTGGAAAGAAGCCTTGGGTTCATGGATCTCATTATTTGCAGCACTTATTATTAGCTTTTTATTTTTATGTTATACAAGGATCACATACTCATTTTAAGGGGAAAAAAGTTAAAAACATAAAAATGCATGTATAATTTTTAAAAAATCATTCATGATTCTTCCACCCAAAATTATGGTTAAAACTCTTAGAGTCTGTCTTTTCAGACTTTTTTCTATACCTGTGTGTACATTGTTTTGTAACCTATTTTTTTAATTGGGAAAATCTTCTAATTAAAATATGTCTACATTTTTACATAATTTCCTATTATATGGCTATGCCATAATTTAATAAGCTCCCTACTGTTGAACATTTTGGTTGTTTCTAATATTATTTAAACAAAAATCCTCCTACATCATATCTTCTCCATTTATTCAATTGTGATAAAATGGCATTTAGGGTCAAAGAGCAAACATGTATTTCATGAAAATTTTAGTACATACTACCAAATTATATTCCCCAAAATCAGATTTTCCTCCAGTCATTTATACATCCCTGGCAGTCTGTGAGTGTTCATATTCCCACTCCCACAATAGCATAGAATATTGTCATTCCTTTTTCTCTCTGCTACTCTGGCAAAGAAACATTCGTTAGTGCTGGAGTGAAAAGATTGATGTGTAGACTATGTGTAAGGAGAGACAGGATTAACAATATAGGAGTAATCTGTTGGTAAAAGATTTGGAGAGAAGCTGCTTACAAGAAACAACTGAAAATTCAAAATAAGAGAGCCTTTTATTTCTTTGTAGCCATCTTGATCCCCTGATCTTATCATGCTTTGGTTTCATAACAAAAAGAGGGTGCTGCTGGCATCTAGTGAGTAGAGGCCAGAGATGTTGCTACACATCCTGCAAAGCACGGAATAGAGGCAAGAAAAAATTATCTGGTCCAAATGGCTATAGTGCCGAGGTTGAGAAACCCTTACTGAAACCCCGACCCATTTCTCAAAAGGAATTCTGTTTACTGGGAGGGAGTTCAGATTGCCTTCCACATCTGATAGGATGTACCCTTGCTGTACAAGGCTTAGCATTTCATCATACAGCTGATGTCTGAGAGATTGGTTGGGCATGTCCCCTTCATCTGAAATAAGGAACACTAGTTCCATGGCACGAATATCCGTGGACCATTTGGACTACTTTGTGGAGGGACAGGAAGCTGGAGACTCAGCCAGCTGAGGGGAATTAATAGTATAACTAGAAATCGTGGGATACAAACTCCAGGGCACCGGGCTAGGGTGTGAGTACTGTCAAGGTAAATCCAGAATTGCGCTGTGAGAACAAACGGAGTCAGCTAGTTGGGGAAAGAAAGAGTTGGAGACGAGTGAGACATGATTGGATAAGAATTGCATTACATTGTAGAACCCATCACCAGGACCCCAGTTCAGCAGACCCTTAAGTCTTACAGTTGGACTTTTCCATTTCAAATAAGCGCCAACTGTTGAAAGACATGATGTATTATGCAGCCAGGGAAAGAATCACACAATGAAGCTGGTTGGTGTGTGATTTGGGCCAAAAGTTTCACGATTGCTCTCTCCAGAGAACTTGAGTTTCTGGTTCTTTTAATGCATACAATGGATGTTGTACATACCCATTCCTAACAACTGTGAAATAAATCAGTTCTTAAAGTGATTTACTAGGCAATGATTCCAAGAAAATCCAGGAAAGGAGTGGGGAAGTGGGACAGGGAAAAGAAGAGAAGGAAGCCAAGCCAGATGCTTTATCAAGTCAAGTGGCATAGAGGGGAATTTTCAGACTCACAGGGAGCACTAGAGACAGCATAGGCCACTTTGATCAGGAACTGTGTGTGTATGTTCATTAGTCACTGTTTAGAAGCTGCCCCTGAGGGTCTTTCCCAGTCAACCCTGGCTATTTATACACCCAAGCAAATTGGGTGTGGGCAGTAGAGGGTAGCCCCCTGACAGAGGACAGGGATATGAATGAAACAAACACTAACACCATCTACTACAGCTATAATCTCAGACCAGTTCCCATAAAAGGATACATTGGCAATCTTACACTAACGTTTTTTTTTTTTTAACAATTATTATTTTTTTTTAAGACTGGTCAAGTGAAGCAGCGGGAGTAGAAAAGGAACAAAGGAATCTGTACCTGGTTGTGATCAATTATTTGTAGACACCATTGCACTCGGACCAACCTGAAATGATTTTTGAACGCAGAAAAACACCACTTTATTTTGTTATATTGTATGTAATCATTTTCTCAAGAGTTGTCAAGTTAAGGTACCCATGTATGATAGTGCAACATGGGGTTCAGAATATCAAATTTATTGCAGCATTTATCACAGTCATCAAAAGTAGTTTGGAGAGTTTCCACTTCCAGCCACAATTGGAATAATTGGGACTGTATTTACCCCCTTCCTGAAACAACGTTAAAATGATGAAACCATTTTCAAGACATTGATTATCAGAGAAAGAGGCACAATGAACTTTGGGAAACGGCAAACAAGTGAGGTGTACCCTCTCGCTCCAGCTGACTGCTTGGACATTATCGCAATTAAAAAGCAAGGATGGGAGAACCCAGGAAGAGCGAGTGGGCTCCCTG